TAGTCCTGGTTTAGATCTGGTTTAGGTCCTGGTTTAGTCCTGGTTTAGTCCTGGTTTAGTCCTGGTTTAGTCCTGGTTTAGACCTGGTTTAGTCCTGGTTTAGTCCTGGTTTAGATCTGGTTTAGACCTGGTTTAGTCCTGGTTTAGTCCTGGTTTAGTCCTGGTTTTTAGTCCTGGTTTAGTTGGTTTGTCCTGGTTTTAGTCCTGGTTTAGTTTGGTTTAGATCCTGGTTTAGTCCTGGTTTAGTCCTGGTTTAGACCTGGTTTAGTCCTGGTTTAGTCCTGGTTTAGACCTGGTTTAGACCTGGTTTAGACCTGGTTTAGACCTGGTTTAGTCCTGGTTTAGTTCTGGTTTAGATCTGGTTTAGTCCTGGTTTAGTCCTGGTTTAGACCTGGTTTAGTCCTGGTTTAGTCCTGGTTTAAGATCTGGTTTAGTCCTGGTTTAGTCCTGGTTTAGTCCTGGTTTAGTCCTGGTTTAGACCTGGTTTAGACCTGGTTTAGACCTGGTTTAGTCCTGGTTTCCTGGTTTAGTTCTGGTTTAGATCTGGTTTAGTCCTGGTTTAGTCCTGGTTTAGATCTGGTTTAGTCCTGGTTTAGTCCTGGTTTAGACCTGGTTTAGTCCTGGTTTAGTTCTGGTTTAGATCTGGTTTAGTCCTGGTTTAGTCCTGGTTTAGATCTGGTTTGGTCCTGGTTTAGACCTGGTTTAGTCCTGGTTTAGTCCTGGTTTAGTCCTGGTTTACCTGGTTCACCTTAGTTCAGTTACATCCATATCAACTAAACGGCTAAATAAAAACTATCCCGGGTTTGTTTTATTTAGTCTTTGTTTAACTGATCACATTCACACAGTTACTTTAAATTCATTTTATTTGGTTTTATCCCTTCATTTCTGTTTAAACTCACCACCTTCACCTGTGACTCCACATGGTCTGGGAACAACAGAGGGGGCGTGTCCTTTGGCAGCCATATTTATAGGCTCGGGGAGGTGTTGGCCCCGACCATGTGGGGGGAAGCCTCGGAAATGGTTCTTTGTTTTATCAAATGGGTTATTAGAGTTTTGGTTTCAGTGTGTCTAGTTAAGTTGGACACTGTTCAGTTTAAAAGGGGGATTAGGCTTCAGAAGATAATTGAAGGCAGCACCAGTAAGGAAAGGAAACTGCTACAGTTTTCCCCGTAAGTTGGTGTGAACCCAGGGGGAGGGGCTTCCTCTCTGGGGGTGTATAAGTAGAGGCAGTTTAATCAGTAGGAGGTCGTCACCATCAGTGCAGCCAGGTGCCTGTGGGTATTTTCATTTGTTGCATTATTTTCTGTTGCTTTTGTTTAGTTAAGCACAGTTCTTTTTTGTAAATATGTGTATAATTTTGCCCACGACTTGGAAGGATCCAATAAAGAACTTTGCACTGGACTCTCATTTTGACCACTTGGGCCAGCTTCCCCACAAATTATTTTTGTTATGAATTTTAGTTTCTGAAATTTTAAGTGTACATTTTCAAAGTGTATAAAATTCAATATTAAAAACACAAATATTTCCAAGTCTTCAAATTCAGCAGTCAAAATTCAGAGTGTAAAATTCGCAACAAAACAATTCGCAGGAAAGATCCGAGATGTCAAGGCCTAAGCAATCGATCCAAAGTTATTAACAAACAGGAAATGGTGCAGTGAAGTGATCTGATTGGTCAGAATTACCCTCATCAAAACCTCATCTGTTTGATTGGTTAAATGTAAACCCCGCCCACAGATGAGAACAGCCAATAGGAAACCGCCTCTGTCCTCCTCGCTCACATGATCGATTGCTTCTGCCTTGGCGTCTTGGATCTTTGCTGTGAAATTTTTCACTGCGAAATTTTACACTCTGAATTTCGACTGTTGAATTTCAGGGCTTGAAAAAATCTTCGGTGTGTTCTGTTTTGAATTTAAAACATACACACAAGTAAACTTCAAATTTCAGCAACTAAAATTCAGAATAAAAGTCATTCAAACATCTTTTTTTTAGAGTTAAAACATTCAAAATGATAAATTCAGTGGTATTGAAAATTCAAAATCTGATGGAACAAATTCTCTTCCATAAGTTGAGTTGTTTTATTTATGAATGACAAGAAGGAAATATGTTTTATTTCTTATATTTTACAGTTAAATTATTATTTATGTAATCAGTAACACTTTATAACTACACCTTATTTAGCCTTAATAAAGCATGAACAAAGGCTTAATTAATAATGAACAAAGACTTAATTTATAATGATTCACGTTCAGTAACTATTTAATTACTACCTTAATTAGCACTTGCACTTAATTTGCCTGTGCTGTAAATAGTTACTCATAATTATTTCATACTTAATTACTCATGAACTAACCATTTGAGCATTTATTAATCATTAATAAGCCATGAGAGAATGATTTACTAATAACACACAATGATCATTCAGGCAGCTGTTCTCTGTTAAGACTTTTTGAGAGCTTTTCTAAAGTGAAGACTAATTATCCTCTCTTAAACATTTACTAAGCGTGAATCATTATTAATTAAGTCTTTGTTCATTATTAATTAAGTCTTTATTCATGCTTTATTAAGGCTAAATCAAGTTTTTTATTGTCGTCTTAAACGTGGCAGAAGTGTTTTGTTGTTGTTACACTTCAGTAAAAAAAGACCTTGTGGAGTTTGTCAGATTTGTTTTTGCTGGACTTCTTGGGGAGTTCTTTTTCCTGTACACACATCGAGATCTAACAAAATATATCCACATATATATTTTGCTCCGTATGGCCCAGTCCTGGTTCTCACCCAGCGGGAGCACGTCTTTGTCTTTACACACACATTTACACCACGGGTCAAAAGTTTTAAAACAACCTAATTTTTCCAGTTATTTATTGTAATTCAAGTCGTGTAAGTCCAATGAGTCGCTCGAAATGGAGAAAAGTTAAAAACTGAACAGGCAGAGGATTAAAAAAAAAAAAGATAATAGAACAAAACACAAGTCCAAGCTCTGCCCAAACCACCTCAGCTGAGTCCAGATACTGACCAGTTTCGGTGCTGATCAAAGTCGTCCGGCAAGTTGTTCTGGGGACTGTGTAATAAAGTGTTTTTCTTCTCAAAACAATCTGTGTTCAAAAGAGTGACACATTTGCACCACAAAACCATCATCAAATAAAAAGTCAGACTCATTATCGCTTGGCACTATTTTCTCTCCGTTTGTATCACTACGAATCCATCACTTTGTTCAGGTGTTTGTCAGTGTTTACATGCTCAGACACGCGACGTGAGAGAGCGAACATGAGACTAGAGACATAAGGATATAAACTTGTGTAAGATACATAAGAATATATCCAAAACATGATGCAAACTCTTGATTCTCCAGGCTGGAACAACTAAAACCTGTGTGAATCTCCTCACACATTTCACCGTTTTCCTGTCACGGACTTTGCGCTGAGGAAACTTTGGCTTCAACGTGGAAACCAAACCAGGTAAGAAGGAAGAAGTGCAGCTGTGTTTACAAGAGAACAGACTCAAGAATCAGCAGCAAATCACTCAGTGTCACATCACCAGTCAAACTTCTACAAAACGTAACTTTATAAGAGGCTTTGCACCGTCACGTGTCGCCATGGCAACAGTACCTACACCGCCATGACACCGGATTGTGTATTTGGTTGTTCTAGACCACAGGTGTCAAACACACGGCCCAGGGGCCAGATCCGGCCCTCCAAGACCTTTAATCTGGCCCTCGGCTGATTTTCTACTAAAATATTTGAATGATATTTTCTATTAAAATGGTGTTAATTTTCTGTGGTGTTTATCACAGCAGCGTCTCCAGCGTCTCTGTACGTGGCCCCTCCCACCAGAACAGCACAAATGAAGACTTGTCTCTTTCCAAACGCTCTTAAAGGACGATCGTTTTGACTGTTGACCGTGACACCCTCATCAGAAAAATGTCCAACATGAGAAAAGTGGAGCCGAGTGCAGGATTTTACAACAAAAATGGACTTATTCCTGTTTACAGACAAGTTCATGTTCAAACTTTGTGTTGAAATTGTATTTTTCTTAAAGTTTCAGGTTGTTCATAATATTATAATATTTTGTTAAAGAAAGAGTTCATCAATTAAAAAAGATTTCTGTAATAGATTTGTGTTTCTCTGCACAAATATTTGAACTTCTTGTTATTTTTGGGGTTTTTATGACATGAGTTTTCTGATCCGGACACTTTGGATCAAAGTCGGTTGGACACGACCCCCGGAACAAAATGAGTTTGACTCTCCTGATGTAGAAGCTCTGAAAAGGATAAAACGATTCGTTTCTTCACTGTTCCTCTGGAAATGACTCATCAGGATCAAACAAGGGAATTATCGAAAAAAAAAAGACGGGAATTATGTCTAGTGAACATAAACCACGAAGAGATTTCCTATGGTCCCATCAAGACTCACGTCACTTTCATCAAGGTGTTTTCTATTTAAATTGTTTCATAGTTTATTTCATGAGAGAAGCACAGTGCGATAATGAGGTCTGACGTTATATTTGACGATGGTTTTGTGACGCAAATGTTTCACTCTTTTGAACACAGATTGTTTTGAGAAGAAAAACACTTTATTTTAATGTCCCCAGCGAACTTGCCAGACGACTTTCATCAGCACCGAAAACAGTCAGTATCTGGACTCGCCGGACGCTGTCGGGGTGAGTCAGTGTTGACGCACGACGCTGCTCACGGGGACGACACACAGATCCATGTCATAAAACTCAAACCATCCCTTTAAACCTGTCGAGCTGAAGACTGAAGAGTGAAGCAACCGACAAGTGCCAGACATTTATCAAACTTCTGCAACAGACTCGGGGAGAACTTTCTCAACAAAAAGAACGAGGCACGAGTGAGTTCAGCTGTTAGATCTGACAAAGGTCGACAGTTTAGAAAATATTTTGGTCAAACAGGAAAATGGAAAAAACAGGGAGAAACTGGAGAAAGTGCGGTGTTGTCAAACTTTTGACCGTAGTGTGTAATGTTGTCGAAAAGTAAAAGCACTCACCCAGCGCGAGCATGTCTTTGTCTTTGCACTCGAGCGTGTTCCAGTCGTTCCGGCACGTGGCCCACGGCAGAGTCCCCTTCAACGAAGCGAACAGGTAGTACAGAGTCCAGCACATTATAATGTTATAGTAAATGGCAATCAAGACAGATATAATCAACATGGCAATCCCGCAACCTACAATATAAAGACAACCACAAGAGGGCGTTACTGACGAGCAGAGACACACACAAACACACAAGGGGGCGGCACGGAGCACATGGGGCCGACGCACACGGGGCCGACGCACACAGGGCCGACGCACACGACACACACACTAAACACCAGCACCTTCACAATAATAAAAATAAAAATAAAATAATAATAATAATAATAATAATAATAATAATACTGTTATCAATTAAAAAATAAAAAATAATAATAATAATACCTATAGTAAAAATAAATACAAATAAAAATAATACTGTTATAAGCCTGAATACAATTTGTAAAAAAAATATATATAAAAAATAAATAAAATAAACTAGTAATAATAATAATAATAATAATAATAATAATAATAATAATAATAATAAGAGAGTATTTCCAAACATTAAACACACTTTTGTAATGTTTCTGTTTGTGCAGCGTCTCTGAGTTTAAATAAGATCCGTAAAAATAAAATGTCTTTTATTATTAAACTGAACTAAATCCAGCTTTCTTTCTTCAATTCTACAGCTTTAAGTGTGTGCCGATACCGATATCGGCCGATACCAGAGGCTGAAAACAGCGTCTGTTTCCTTTAGACTAAAATAAAATCTCCTCATGTGTCTAAAGTTTCTCTGAGGAAAACACAAAAGAATTTTGTACAAATAAAACTCAAATATTCAGAGACTTTCTGGGCCAAGAACGACCAGGAAAGAATCGTCTAAATACATCGATTTTTACACAAACAAAAGTCCAAGGTTTGGACTCACGCTCTCATTTGGTGATTTTTTTTTTTTTTATGTATTTAATTTATTTTTATTATTTTCCACATTTCAGACACAAACAGAAGAGCACACGTGTGTGAAGTGAGAAATATGGAATTATAAAGCAAAGAAAAAAGTGAAGTAACTCTACTAAATATTTGTTTATATTTTATATTCAAATCCTCAAAGTCTCCACACTTTGTTCTTCCAAAAGTATTTAGTACAGCTTATTTTTTGTTGTTGTTTTTTTGTCTTTATTACATAATTCCGTCTCTCTGATTCGTATATTTAATGTTTTTTATTTGTGTCTAAAATGTAGAAAATGGGAAACAGAGAAAAGAAAAACCCTGAGTCCAAACTTCACTTTAACTCAATCTGTGGAAGCCAAAATTGGACCCCAGTATCGTATCGGTCACCAGTATCATACGGGTTTGTCCCACCATGACCCCTGCCCCCTGCCCCCGGGTGTGTGCGTCTGCCCCGCTCCCCTCCGGCTCCGGGCCCCCTCACAGGTCCAGGGCAGATTACCTTGCAGCGCCGGGATGCACTTCCACACGGAGACGGGCCCCTGACTCGCGAACTGTCCCAGAGAAACCTCCAGCAGGAAGATCGGGATCCCGGCGATTCCCAACATGGTCAGGTACGGGATGAGGAAGGCCCCTGGAGCCCGAGGGACAGAGACACAGTGTGAACGTCAGGAACAACAACGTCAGGAACAACGTCGGGAACAACAACGTCAGGAACAACGTCAGGAACAACAACGTCGGGAACAACGTCAGGAACAACAACGTCAGGAACAACAACGTCAGGGAACAACAACGTCAGAACAACAACGTCAGGGAACAACAACGTCAGGAACAACAACGTCAGGAACAACAACGTCAGCAACAACAACGTCAGGAACAACAACGTCAGGAACAACAACGTCAGGAACAACAACGTCAGGAACAACAACGTCGGGAACAACGTCAGGAACAACAACGTCAGGAACAACAACGTCAGGAACAACAAACAACAACGTCGGGAACAACAACGTCGGGAACAACGTCAGGAACAACAACGTCAGAACAACAACGTCAGGAACAACGTCAGGGAACAACAACGTCAACAACAACAACAACGTCAGGAACAACAACAACGTCAGTCAAACAAACAACGTCGGAACAACGTCAGGAACAACAACGTCGGAACAACAACGTCGGGAACAACGTCGGGAACAACAACGTCAGGAACAACAACGTCGGGAACAACGTCAGGAACAACAACGTCGGGAACAACGTCAGGAACAACGTCAACAACAACGTCAGGAACAACGTCAGGAACAACAACGTCAGGAACAACAACGTCAGGAACAACAACGTCAGGAACAACGTCAGGAACAACAACGTCAGGAACAACAACGTCAGTCAAGGGAACAACAACAACAACGTCAGGAACAACAACGTCGGGAACAACAACAACAACGTCGGGAACAACGTCGGGAACAACAACGTCGGGAACAACAACGTCGGGAACAACAACGTCGGGAACAACGTCAGGAACAACAACGTCGGGAACAACAACAACAACGTCAGGAACAACAACGTCAAACAACGTCAGGAACAACAACGTCAGGAACAACGTCAGGAACAACAACGTCGGGAACAACGTCAGGAACAACGTCAGAACAACAACGTCAGGAACAACAACGTCAGGAACAACAACGTCAGGAACAACGTCAGGAACAACAACGTCAGGAACAACGTCGGGAACAACAACGTCGGGAACAACAACGTCGGGAACAACAACGTCAGGAACAACAACGTCGGGAACAACAACATCGGGAACAACAACGTCGGGAACAACAACGTCGGGAACAACGTCAACAACAACGTCGGGAACAACAACAACAACGTCGGAACAACAACGTCGGGAACATCAAACAACAACGTCGGAACAACAACGTCAGGAACAACAACGTCAGGGAACAACGTCGGAACAACGTCACAACAACAACACAACGTCGGAACAACAACGTCAACAACAACAACGTCAGGAACAAACAACAACGTCAGGAACAACGTCAACAACAACAACGTCGGAACAACAACGTCGGAACAACAACAACGTCAGGAACAACGTCAGGAACAACGTCGGGAACAACAACGTCGGGAACAACGTCAGGAACAACGTCAACAACAATCGTCAGGAACAACAACGAACAACGTCGGGAACAACGTCAACGTCAGGAACAACAACGTCGGGTCAACAACGTCAGGAACAACAACGTCAGGAACAACAACGTCGGGAACAACGTCGGGAACAACAACGTCAAGGAACAACAACGTCAAACAACAAACTGTCGGGAACAACAACGTCGGAACAACGTCGGAACAACGTCGGGAACGTCAACAACGTCGGGAACAACGTCGGAGGAAACAACAACAACGTCAGGAACAACGTCAGGAACAACAACGTCAGGTCGGAACGGAACAACGTCAGGAACAACGTCGGAACAACAACGAACAAACGTCGGAAACAACGTCAAACAACAACGTCGGAAGAACAACAACAACTCGCGGGAACAACAACGTCAACAACAACGGAACAACAACGGAAACAACAACGTCGGGAACAACAACGTCGGGAACAACGTCGGAACACAACAACGTCGGGAACACAACGTCGGGAACAACAACAACAACGTCGGGAACAACAACGTCGGGAACAACGTCAAACAACGTCAACAACAACAACGTCAGGAACAACGTCAACAACAACGTCGGAACAGAGTCGGGAACAACAACGTCGGAACAACAACGTCGGGAACAACAACGTCGGGAACAACGTCGGGAACAACAACAACAACGTCAGGGAACAACAACGTCAACAACAACGTCGGAACAACAACAACGTCGGGAACAACAGTCGGGAAACAACAACGTCAGGAACAACAACGTCAACACAACGTCGAACAACAACGTCGGAACAACACTCGGGAACAACGTCAACAACAATGTCAAATACAAACGTCGGGAGGAACAATCAAAACAACGTCAACAAAACAACGTCGGGAACGTCAGGAACAAAACGTCGGTCGGGAACAAACTCAGTACAACAACACAAAAAAACAATGGGTCTGGTAGAGAATAAAGTCGTAACATTTCGACATTAAAGTCGTAATATTATGAGAATAAAGTCGTTGTCAAAATAAAGTTGTAATATCAGGAGAAAATCAGCTGCTCGTGGAGAATGGAGAATTTGGAGCATTTTGTAAAAGGAGAAGAATCCGTGTATCATTCGTTCATTCGACTGAATCAGGACTAAACCAGGATTAAACCAGGACTAAACCAGGTCCAGAACCAAACCAGAAAGACCAGGATTCAGACCGGGGCCAGACCAGGACTGAAAACGGTTTAGTCCTGGTTTAAGTCACGGAAATGGGAAATGGCGTTTCCATGACTTTAAAATGCAATGCAGGACTGAACCAAGACTGAACCAGGACTGAACCAGGACTGAACCAGGACTAAACTGTTTTAAGTCCTAGTCCTGTTCCCGGTCTCAATCCTGGTCTCAGTTTTGGTCTGATCCCGGTCTCAGTCTTGGTCCCTGACTCAGTCCTTGTCTGGTCCCGGTCTAAGTCCTGGTCTCAGTCCCGGTCTGGTCTCGGACCTCATTTAGTCTTGGTTTAGTCCTGGTTCAGTCCGGAGGCGCAAATAATGAAGGAAATTGTTGTTCGTTTCTATTTTTGGTTTATATTGAAAACAAGGTTCTTCTTCTGCCGCATTTTTCACTTTGACTTTGATTTTATTACAACTTTATTCTGGTAATATTAGAACTTTAATTTAACTTTGACTTTATTCTCGTAAAATTACGACTTTAATGTTGAAATGTTACGACTTTGTTCGTCGTAAGGACGAGTTGAATTTCCTCCTTTCTCGAGTTTTATTTGACGTTTGACTCGTGAACTCTGCAGAAACTCCCGGGTTCCGGTTTGTGACATTTGACCTTTGACCCGTGGCGAGCCCCGCCCCCTCACCTCCGCCGTTCTGGAAGGCGAGGTACGGGAAGCGCCACACGTTCCCGAGCCCCACGGCGTAGCCCACCATCGACAGGATGAAGTCCAGCTTATTGGACCAGTTTCCCCGAGCTTTGTTCTCGTCTCCACCCTCGTCCTCCTCGTCCTCTACCTGCGGACGGACGGAGAGAGAGAGAGAGAGAGAGAGAGAGAGAGAGAGAGAGAGAGAGGAGAGAGAG